AAAAAAAAATTTTTAAAAATGGAGTTCCAGAAGCTTGTCATTTGATGTCCTATAATGTTTTAGTGATGTGATTATCCTCAAGCATGCTATTATTATGAAACAGTAAATCTGATGTGAACTGGAAAAAAAGAGAAAGAAAATGTGGTTTATGTATATAACGGAATGTTATCCAGCCTTAAAAAAGAAGGAAGGGGGGCGCCTGGGTGGCGCAGTCGGTTAAGCGTCCGACTTCAGCCAGGTCACGATCTCGCGGTCCGTGAGTTCGAGCCCCGCGTCGGGCTCTGGGCTGATGGCTCAGAGCCTGGAGCCTGTTTCCGATTCTGTGTCTCCCTCTCTCTCTGCCCCTCCCCCGTTCATGCTCTGTCTCTCTCTGTCCCAAAAATAAATAAATGTTAAAAAAAAAAAATTAAAAAAAAAAAAAAAAAAAGAAGGAAGGTCTGCCATTTGCTACAACACGAATGAATCTGGCAGGTGTGATGCTGGGTAAAATAAGCCAAAGGTGACACTGTGTGGGGTCATTTATATGCAGAATCTGGGTGGGAAAAAGTTGAACTGCTGGAAACAGTAGAATGGTGGTTGCTGGGCTACGGGGTAAGGGGAGTGGGGAGAGGCTGATGAAAGGGTATAATCTTTGTTAAAAGATGAATGAGTTCTGCGGACCTAATATATAAATGGTGACTAGAGTTGATAATCCTACATTGTCTAATTTTTCAAAGTTTATTTATTTATTTTTAAGAGCGAGCGAGAGAGAGCAAGAGGGACAGAGAGAGAGAGAGGGATAGAGAGAATCCCAAGCAGGATCAATGCTGTCAACGCAGAGCCCAACGCAGGGCTTGAACCCACAGACCGTGAGATCATGACCTGAGCCAAAGTCGGTCGCTCAACCGACTGAGCCACTCAGGTGCCCCTGGCATCCCTGTATTGTACAATTTAAATTTGCTAGGAGAGTAGATCTTAAGACTTCTCACCAAGGGGGGCAGGGGGGAGAAAAAAAGAAAGATAGCTATGTAAAGTGATGGATGTATTAATTAACTTGATTGTGGGAATAAACTTCACAATATATACACGTATCAAATCATGTATAATTTAAATGTATCACAAACTTAATAATTTTTTAATTTTAATTTTTTTGAGAGAGAGAGAATCCCAGGCAGGCTCCACACTCCACACGGAGCCTGACTTGGGGCTCGATCCCATGACCCTGGGACCTGAGCTGAAATCAAGAGTCGGACACTGTACCGACTGAGCCACCCAGGTCCCTGAAATGTATTACAGTTTTATTTGTCAATTATAACTCAATAAATCGGGGGGGGGGTGAATTACTGAGAGTAGTTTGAACAATGCTTGTTTTCTAGTTGTGTAACTTAGGATACGGAACAAGAATCTTTTCTCAGCATTGATGAGTGAACACACTCCTTTCTGAGTTTAGATCAACTTCAATTTTATCCCTTGTACTTCAATGTCATGAAGTATATCCGGGAGTTCCTTTAATGTGCCGGCATCACTTCCTCTGGGACACCTTCATCCTTCATCAGAGCCACATTCGTCACCTATGTCGATCAACTTGCCTTCACTAAGTGTCTCTGGTTGCACATCTGGAGTTTCTGGAACAGCAACGAGCTGCTGTGTCAACATCCCCACAACGGGCTATTTCTTTTATCACCCCATTTACACTCTGCATTTCTTTGCTGCACTTTTGTCTTTGTTGGCCGGTTCCTTCATCTGATTATCCGGTTTTGTAGCCTGTCATCTGGGTTTATCACTGGGAGACAGAGGTCAACACGACCCCGAGCTTTGGGGTCGGTGTGTGAACTGAATACCGTGCACCGTGACCAATCAGGGTCAGGCTTTGGAAGAAGCAATGTGATTAGTCACTGACCACCAAGCACACCCGATATTGCCGTAGTCACGGGTGGACCGAAGGGTAGGAAGGTTTGTACTTCATGCAACTGCTCATAGCTCATAGAACATGGCAACTGAAATCTGAATCGTGTTGTTCAGACACTGGCGTTATTTCACTGAACCGCGGTGTCTGAAACTCGTTCTGCCGTGCAAAGCAAGGACAGCTTGATCATGTATGTATCTGTACAGAAGGCTGTTTCCAGGGACACCACTAAATGATTAATAGTGGCTTTCTCTGGGACTGAGTTTGGGGTCTTATAAACTTGTATACTTTTTTTTTTTTTTTTTTTTTTTTTTTTTTTTAACAAGGCTGTAAAGCTCTGGAATCAGACAGACCTTGGACTGAAGCCACTTACTAGCCGTGTGACTTTTTGCAAAGTATTAAATCTTTCTGAGAAGCGTGTCTTTTTTGCTTTTAAAGTTTATTTATTTTGAGAGAGAGCAAGGGAGGGGCAGAGAGAGGGGGAGAGAGAGAATCCCAAGC